TTACAACTGACCACAAAACCACAACACACAACAACACACACCACAAAATAACAAAAAAAGGCCAATTTCTTCAAAAGGACTGCTGTAAATTCAGTGATTTTTGGACAAAAATTGTGAGATCCTGCAAAGGAAGATTAACAAAAGGTGTTTACTTAAGCTGGTCTGTTTAACGTGATCAATAGGTGAAAATCTGAATAAACATTATCATTTTATATCTCCTCACAGTTTGCTTCTACCCAATTTACTTTGTCATAGTTTTTCACCTCAGTTTTGGAAGCCAGGTTTCCTCCCCTGCACGCACCTCTGCGGGTCTCTTCCCAGTCTGTGTCGGGTTATGTAGCTCACAGCGGTGGGATGGGGCGCGGAGACGCAGAGTCGGAGTGCACAGCTTTGTAGTCGGAGGGGCAGCTTCCTGTCCTGCATTATTAATTCCTGATGTTCACAGTTGACCTGGCGCTTACACACCTCCCTCCTCAGGCCATGAATCTGGAAGTGTGTGTTTGTGTGTGTGTGTACCCGACAGAAAGAGAATTAAACCAGTGGATGGATACACCACGTCTAGTTCATTGCATGAAATGTCTCCTTTTGGAGGCCGATTGCTTATAACTTGCTTAATCCTTATCAGCAGCACATAGGCTGGGTGTGTGAGGCAGTATGCTGCTAATAGCTATTTGTTCTGTACGACAAGGTTTGCAATTTATTCTTTATAATCTGCCTTAATTCAGCTAGAATTGGTGCTTCATTACTTCCTTAAATGAAACTGGTTTTACCCAAATACTCAGCCATTGGAGAAACTGGAATGTAATATAGATAATTTTCCCCGAAAAGAACTAGATGGAGTGGAGTGGGGCTGAGCGAGCTGTCACAAAGCCCTGTGAGAAAACTTAACTGACATCCATATAATGAGCCTCTGCGAGGATCTCCCACCATTTTATTGTGTCTTTATCTCCTCTCTCTGAATTGGGAGGGTGAAAAGAAGAAGAAAAAAATGAGGAGTTGCAGGTTTGGAGCAAATTACCCATGCTTATTTATTCAGAGATGTCGCCTCATAGAGCAACCAACCCCCTGGGTCTTCTCACAGGCCCGAGCGAGCGCCAAATCGCTTTGCTGCTTAGAAGGAGAGAAAAACAACATAGAATAAAAAAGAGAGAAGGGAAAAGAAAAGGTTGTAAAAAGAAGAGGGTTGAGGCGGCAGTGGAGAGAGATTACAGGTTGGGGTCGGGGGGAGGTTGAAAGACAGCAAGAGAGGAGAGGGGATATAGAGACAGGAAGGAGACCTGGACACAATGAGAAGATGACAAAAAAGGAGAGGAAAATAGTTTTTTGGGGGAAAGCGATCAGATCAGCAGATCAGAGAGATAGTTAACTGGAGCCTCGGAGGGAGAGAAACGAGATGATAGAGACTGAGGGAAGGTGGGGGTGATGAAAACTAACAAGGGAGGAGGCGAGGAGGGGTGCAGGGCTGGTTGAGCGTCTCCCAGGGGTCTCAGAGGGAGAGGAAGATGGCTCGACGAGTGCACCCCCGCAGAGAAACTCAACAGGGGGTCAGCTTTTTGTTTTGCAGAAAAAAAAGAAAAAAGTCCTCACCGCCCTCAACAGTAACATGGTGATAACAGAGGCTTGTACACTCCATATTTCAGCTGGTGGAGGAGCATTGTTTAGAGAGATGGGGGGCTTCTTCTAATTCGGTCACTTATTTCCAACCCTCACAGTCTCACACAGTCACACACATTCACACACCCTGCCCACCTACCAACATAAGATTAAACACACATTCACACACACAAATATAAATATACATGCTTTGTCTTAGGATAGCGTTTTCTGTTGTTTTGGCTCTGTATTTTTTAACATATCAGATTTCAAATTAAATGAAACAAGAGATTTTCAATCCACTCGTTTTTATGTGCACTTTAAAAAAAAATGCAATTAGCAAAACTGGGAGTGGAAAAGTTGGTGTATCGATAGAAGAAAAATGCCATGAAGTCCAATGGAATCAGATCTACTGAATTAATCATGATGTATATGAAACATGTGATTTAAACATCACTCTGCTTCCACTGAAGAGATTAAAAATTGCAGCTGGCAAAAACATCAGATGCGTGCAGACTGATGAGGAAACTGTAACATTCCTCAAATTAATATACGAAACAAACATAAATGACATATTTCCATCATGTTTTACGCATGGCTTTCGTCGGTTTGATATTTGCACCATCTTCTGCTATGGTCACCAGACTGGAGAATTAGCTCCACCAGCTGTTTTTTTTCATGTGTTCAATTTCTAATATTCACATAACAGTGTTGGATGGAAATGCCAATTAAAATAACATGTAAGATTTAGTATTTTTCTACAGATTCAGAGTGCAATTCACTTAATACCCCACTGTTGTAAATATGGGCAGTTGTACACATCTATATGTTAGGATTACATTACAATAAAATAGTAGCGTGTCCACAAAGCTAATATTACTCACTAGTGCAACAGCAAGAAGACCAGCTCACCATCTGTTCACAAAGCTCTCGCCAACCACCAAGGCTTTCTTGCTCTGTCACTCTCTCTTTTTCACTTCTTAGCTTCTTCCATTACCGTCCTCTTCGCTCTCTTTGTCTCTGTATGAGGTGCATAGAGGCGGCTGAGCCTGTTTTGTTGCCCGCTCGCCCCACTCCGGTGTTGCTTTCCTTCAGCATCCCCCTGCTCCGGGCCTGAAAACCTCCTCCTCCCAACGTTCCTGTGCTAGAGGTGAAAACACCAAAACTTCTGACCCGGCGCTCCAATGAGCTCCCAGTCCGGCTAACTGAGCTAACTAGCTAATGGGTTCCTGTATGAGGCTCGAGACTGGGGTTCATGTCATGTGTTCACATGTTTTGGTTATTGAACTTTAATTCTGGTGATATTCTGTGTTTCTTTTATAATCCGCAAATACTACAAGAAGTACTTGCTAGAACACCAAATATGGATTCATCCGCAGCTGAAAATAGTCCCCCCAAAATGCACATTTGAGTAAAGTTTGCTAAAAACATCGCTAACCATCTGTTTTAGGAAATGATTTAGCCTTTGAAATCATTTCATAACCAGTTTAAAAGATTTGTGTTTTTAGTAGGAACCAATGTGCTCGGAGCTAAAGGCCACTGACAGAATGGGAAAGTTAGAATGTGCTGAAAAAAGTACTAACACATGTTGGTTTTGTTCATTCCATGTGATTTGTTTACAGTAAGAGAAATACAGAATATCACATTCAATATAAAAGTACCTTGATATATTGATAAAAAAAACATGGATGGTAATATGTTCAATTAATTGTATATGAAATTAATTGTTTGGAGACAGGGTTGAATATGAGGTTAAAGTACTAATTTTCAGCTTTAAGGGTGTTTGAGGTTGTTTACATCCATATTTGGTGAACAGTGGGACTCGTAGACCTTCTTACCCTTGGGGGTGTTATGTATAAAAAGGGTTTCAATCCCCCGACGTGGATGTAAACACCCTCGAATTAAAGCTGAAAGTTGGAAGGCCTATTCTAACCTCACAGTCATTATTTAATTTCAAACACAATATGCTGCTGTACAGAGCCAAAACAAAATAGTCAAAATACTTCAGGAGATTGTGCTCTATATTAATGCACAACCACAAAAACACCCCTATCTGCTCAGGCTCCTGTGGAGCAATTTAATGTGGATCTAGAGCAGATTAGCAGGCTAAAGCTAAATTCTGTAATCGCTCTGATGGGCTTAAACAAAACTGAGTAGGGGTCTCCTCAAGGTTAAACTGGTTGCTGTCTTTTTCTATTACCTGTTAGTGTTCATTCAGGCGGCTAGCTTCTTTCTCTGCCTCCATTTTATTGCAAAGATGTTAAGGTATTGATCTGGATGGCAAATTTGGTGTGTGTGTGTGTTTATTGAGTCATTTTTCTCTGTAATTGAGTCTTTAAGGTAATATTTAAAAAGGAACAAAAAAGTATTGATATTTTATCCTGTTACCACACAACCAAGCTGATTCGTCTTCTTTCAAGACACAGATGCTCATATCTGATAAATCTTTATTAAATGATTTTCTTTCACTCCTTTAAAGAAAAGGTTGGGTTTGTAGGACTCAATTAAGAATATGAATAAGTTGATGGATGGATGTTTTTGTTGTATTTAACTGAAGTGGTTGGAAAATATTTGTTGTTGGAAAAAAAAAAATTGAAGGGTATAATTGTGTTTTAAATCTAGAAATGTTGGTTCTCTAACACTCAACATTATGACATTTACCAAAAACTTTCACCTAATGCTTTTAAGTCAGACTTAACAAGTATTAATAAGCAGCTTGTCCCTGAATTGATTTGAAAAGTAAAAGGTTCCTTTCTCACTCCAGCTACTGCCTCCCTGTTCAAATAAATGTCTTTATAGATTCAAAGGCAGGAAAAACATGGAAAGTGCAAAAAGATTACATCTTTTTACTGATATGAAGTCAAACATAAAGCAACAACTCACAGAGGGAAGCCCATCAGAGATATTTGTGTTGTTGTGTTGCCTTTGTGCAGTTTTGTGCCAGCTCTCTGTAACTTATTTATGATTCACGGGACTTGACAGCAAACTGAAGGGGGAATATGAAGAAGAAAGACAACAAAAGAAGGTTATAAACTGAGAATCAAGCAGGAGGATCGGCTTGAGTGGAATGGGAACAGAGACTGAGGAAGAGGAGTGGAAATGTTTTGCTCCATAAGTCCTTCAAGGTGATCAGATGGAAGAAAAGAAAAGACCTGAAATAAAAAAGACAAGAAGGGAAAAAAGGGAGGAAGGAGAGGGAGTGGGGTGTTTCCCTGAGGTGGAGATCTGTTTGTGTGAACTAATCTCTGTCTCTTTCTCTTTCTCTCTCT